TCGTCAGATTTATCATTGTAATTAAAGATTTGTTTGTTGAAAAAAACATACCATCTTTTTCTTTGTTATTTTAGGTACGTGCAATAGCTCTCTATCTTTTTTTTCTTCTCATCCGAGTGTATTATCTTTTCTGCTCAATCCTCTTGTTTGGTTTTTTTTATTTCGTTAGCTTCATGAGCAAACCAATGTTATTGACTGGTTCATTTTTTTGTCTTATTGATTGTGGTGATGGTATTGATTTTTAATTCTCTTGTCATGTACAATGCAATCGGTTACTAACTTTTTATTAGTAACGTACGTTTGTTTTGTAATGACTGTTGAGATTGTTTTCTTTTTTTTTCATAGAAAATCTTTCACCTTTCTTGTTTTATGATTCGTTTATGTTTTGTTTTCACTATATGTCTGTTAGCTTTGTTCATAACATTGAGAGCATATGATCCTATTTGTTTTTTTTGCGCTACATATGGACCTCGTACATTTGTTTTGATGATGAAGGATTTGAATAAAAAAAGATGCTTTATGACAAAATGAAACAAAAGGATAAGATTGATGATAATAATATGAATTTGCATAGGAAATTGTACAAGTATGATGTGATTAGATCTCTTTGTTTTGATAGAATTGATTATTTTAGATTAAGAATTGATCTATTTTATTTGAGTCCTGATATTTACTAATTGAACTATAACTATAGCTTCAAGATGTTTTTTTTTAAATATGTACTTAGTGAAAAGCGATTAACAAAGATTCATTTTTTTTTATAAAGATCCCTCAGATCTTGTGAGATTGTTAAGTTTTGTCTGATTTGGGTATGTGAATAGCGAAAAAGATCGATCCATACGAAAAAAAAAGCTAAGTCTTAGTACTTGCTTATATATAGTTCTAGGATAGAGATTTAATAGTTTTATATTAACTAACTGAGGTAGTATCAATCATTCAGTTTCCGATGATTTGCCTACGCTTGGATTGCTCCTCAACTTTTTGATCAGTTTCTACGAATCATTGAAATTGTAAGCTGTCATTCATCTAGGGCGGGGTGTGGGTGGGTGTGGGTTTGGATCTTCTTTTCCACACCCACACCCACACCCTTCATCATCACTGATTTTATTTTATAATACACATCAAACGATATAGGATATTAGTGGTGAAGAAAATATGAAAGTTGAAGATATTTCAGAAGAAATAAACAGAATTAATTATTCAGAAGACATTTCTCCAATACCAAGAGAAACTTTAACACCAATGAATAATCGTGTAAAAACACAAGTACAGGAAGAATAATTTTGTTTCTTTAAAATATTGATTTTAATTTAAATCGAATAACTTGAAACGTTTCATTAGATGAACGACAAGAACAAGTTAATCTGATATAAGCTCGATTTCAATCTTCTCGAAATCAATATTTCTTTTTATTTTTTATTGTATAGTTCATTCAATCTATTCGACTAATCAAAATTATTTAAATGAAGCTTGTCCATCATCACTTATTTGATTTTTCATTAAACCAAATGTTCTTCAATCTCTTCTTATTACAAATCCTCTTTTATTATCTGTTGATGGTTTAATTCGAGAATAAAATTCTATATTATGATTACTTATTCAGTTAGAATGTACTTACTAGAAATTAACAATAGGATATATAGGATCTGATCATGTTTATGTCAGTAAACGATAATACTCTTCAAATAAATGACTGGTATTGGTGTCATATGTTTTTGAAAAAAATACTCAAATCTTTATTTTAAGTCCTTTGCCGATCAACAAAAATCTCAAATGGACTTTCAATCCAAGGAAAATTCAATTATTAGTTGATGTGATTTATTTTCTGCTCTATTGTATATGTTTTAGATTTTGTAAAGAAAATCTAATGAATCAAAATGATATTTATAAGTTAGAAGGAAAAATTAACAAAGTCTAGAAATATTTTCAAAGAAATTTATTATTTCTACTATTTTCAAATATTAGATAATCTGTTTGCTTAATCTTATCTCTTTATCTTTAATGGAAAAAAAAAACATTGTTTATATTCTTTATTTTCTTATCAGACTTAAAAAAATTACACTGGCAAAGATATAGCATAGTCGTATGCTTCAATTGCACTTTAAGTGTAGGAAAGCATTGATATGACCATTTATTTTGTTTTGGATTATCTTAAATGGATATATTTCTCTATTTGTGTCTTATGGAAAATACTGCAACGATAACATTAACACATACAAACAAATAATCGAAACAAAAACAAGATTCACCTATGAACATATTCGACTATATATCGGTGTTATATTTTTTCGTTTGACAAGGTCAAATTTTTTTCCTTCAATGAGAAGAGTAATTAGAAGCGAAGAATCAATATATATATATCGTCTTGAAAAAAAAAGCGTTCCAATCACATTTAAATATGAACGAGCATAATGTTCGTCTGGTTGATCTACCTAATGAAATACTATTTTTCATTTTGAAAAAACTTGACAATATTGATGTGCTTTACTCTTTATTGGGTGTCAACAATCAACGACTTGGCATTATAGCACAAGAACAAATCTTCACTGGCATACTTAATTTTGTTTCCATATCATTGTCAACAAATGAGATTTGTTCAATATCTGACTCAATACTAGATCGATTTTGTATTTCAATATTGTCAAGAATTCATAATAATGTTAAATGTCTTACTGTTGAATCCATATCTATGAAACGTATTCTTCTTGCTGCCAAATATCCTAATCTTACTCAACTTAAAATTTATAATTTCAACAAATCAATGATTTCACCGTATTTTCCAGGTAAGAAATTCACTTATACTCATCTACTCAAAGAATTAATATATAAAAATATCGACATTCTCATATAAAAATATCGTCGTTTTTTTGTTTAGATGATTGTTTCTTTCGATATATATGCACAAACCAAATAACGGATCTCATTCTTATCAGTAATGAAAACAATATTGAAATAGGAGAAGATGAGTGTACCATCGATGATTATGCAATTATCTTTATTTTGTTTGAAAACCTAAAGGATTTGACTATTATACCATCATCTATCAACGATTGTTCACATTGGCCTGTACATTATTTATCACCAACGACTTTTTACTCTTCGACACTTACTAAATTATCTATCAATGTAATTAGTTTTGATGATTGTCTTGCTTTACTTGATGGTCGTCTCAAACAATTAACTGCATTCATCGTTCAAGTTAATCATATCAACCATTTCACATTAACGTCTTACAACATGGTCAGTTTATGCTTTACATTATCGTTTTTCAAGTAGTTCATATTTAATATCGGAGATAAAATAATTTAGAAATTCAACAAACAATGAGATTTCTACATAAATAAATATACTGTTTTAATCTTGTTTATCAGGAAATTCTTAGGAATAACTTGATTGCTACGGTTATTTTGATCTTATTTGAGATTAATTATCACTCATACTTCAACTGGTTAATCAACCACTTGTAGTTATTAAATGACTCTGAAAAAAAAATATTTTGATATTTATTATTTCCTATTATATTAAATTTATCCATCTATGTTAAAAGAAATAAAACAGTGATTTTCGAAATAATTCCCTCAATCAATCGAGTTTTTTTTTTAAAGATTTATTCAGTTATGCTGTTCAAATGAGTAAACTTATTTAATAGAATAGTTAGTTTTCTCTAAAAATGATTCAATCATTTATATAATGAGTATAGTCGAATGTATTCAATTTTGTCAAAATGTCCAGTAATACCTATGCATCAGAACTTCTAAGAAATGAAAATTAATCATTATTATTAGAGAATAAATGTAGTTCATAGAATAGAAGAAAGATTTAAGAGAAGAATTTTGAAAATGAATTATATCTTTCGATTAATTCGTTCATGTGAATTTATTTATTATCGAAATTGATAAGGATGAATTTCTACATAATGCTTTCTGTTTCTTTTTAGGATGATCTGGTTAATTTGAAATATTTTTCCTTAACATGCCATAATAGAACTCGAGAATATGACAATTTAGTTGTACCTCTTCTTCGTCGAATGTCACATCTCGAAGAATTAACTTTATATCTTAATATATTGGGTGGACCCATATTCATCGATGGTAATCATCTTGATAATCGAATTCTTATTCATATGCCACAACTTCATACATTCACATATTATATATCTACTGAAAATGCCATTACTGATCCAGTTATTCATCCATCTAATGCAGATATTCAACGAACTTTCAAAAATGCAAACCATGGGAAGGTGTCCTGTATGGTAGATTATTTCGATTGTTTCGTAGTGATGTGCCATGTATTTTCACTTCCTTTCAAATTTAATCGTCTCAAAGACATCACAAATAATTTTCCAAATATGTTATTTAATACAGTCACTTATTTGATGGTACGTGATAAAGTTGGATTCAAACATGAATTTTTTGTTCGACTTGCTCGATCTTTTCCATTTGTTAAACATTTATCTGTTTCGAATATTCGTTCACCATTTTTGAAATTTGATGAACGTCATCTTATTAATGATGATTGGTCGTCAATTGTTAAATATGCTCATCTTATTTCACTTGATATCGAAAATGTAAACAGTCATTATATTGAACATTTTCTCAATGAAACAAAAACACATCTACCTTGTTTAATTCAATTAAAAATCCGGTATAACCTATTGGAAATAGTTACTCAAAACTTTACAAGAGATGCAACGCGATGTAATTGTGCTAAAGTCAAACGATTAATTGTCAAAGATTCAATAGTTTATTCGAAAGATGTTTATCGTTATTTTCCTTCGTTGTCAATTTAATTGTGTTCTCATATTATCTGAATAAAAATCTATGATATAAATTCGAATTTTCTTAATAAATCATATGCTGCGGAGAATATCGTCAGTGGTCTATGAAGACAAAATCTGCTATGGAAATTGAGTTGTCAAAAACAAATGATAATATAATCTTATGTATTTGTATTGCATTACGATGGGAAAATAAAATTGTACAGAGCAATAAACGTTTGAAAGCGAAATCTACTTCACATTAGATTTTTTGTCGCTTATAAGTGATTATATTATCTATTGAGAATCATTAAGTTATTTTTTTGATTTACTTTGTTAATCCTAATATATTTTCGCTTGTTTTGTGACATTGAATGGAAAAACTCGCTGCTAATAATATCCTTAAAAATAATTAATATTTTTTATATTAGTAAACAGAAAATTGATAACGAAGAGAAACATTTTAATATTTTTCAATTTTTATTTAAGAAATACAAATGATTAAGATTTATCTTGAAGTAGAGCACTACTAAAATAAAACTGATTCTGATAGGTGATGTTAGTTCGTTGTCATTATTTTTTTTTCATCGGTAATTGTCAATAAATTATAATTGGATCTCCTATGTGGATGACGTACTTTTCGTCGCAAGCGATTCGAACATTCCACGGTTGATTGCAATGGAAAAACCGAGAAATTAGAATAGTTCAACCGGATGTTCATTATAGAATGCTCTTGCTATATATTACGTAACTTTCAGTAATCGTAGTGAACAAGATCAAGTGTTGATTATACAAGTATAGGTCATTCTTTCTTTATTTTCACCGTCAAGGAAACAAAAATAATACCCTCCCATTTTAGAAGACCCTTTAATTTTAATTAATATCTAGAAATTATTAAATGAATAATTAGTATGTTTTAGTTAAAAGTGCTCATTTTCCCGGGACTTTTCCCTAAACAAAGACTTGAAACCCCGAAAAAATCCAGGAGTGCCCTAGAGAAATCTCTAAAAATCATAGATAGATCTGGAAAAGCCTCGAAAAACCAGAGTTTTTCCAAAAAAATTTTCTAATTGAAATTTGAGGGTGTGGGTGAGTTGGTGTTTAACTTACACTTAACCCACATACCCGCACTTACATCCTTCACAGTATCTCTTACTGGAATAGATCAAATAGTCGAACAATGCAGGGTTTTTTGTAATAATAGATTTGACTTGAGTCCATTTATTCTAACAGTTAATAGAATTAGACCAATTTTCCTATGATTACAATGGATTTTCTTAATATAAATTAATATCTTTTTTTAATAAAAAATTTTAATATTAGTGTAAGAAAATTTTCCTAGCTAAATTGATTTTTCTTCAAATATTCTTGATATATTAATACTCATGTTCATATAAAATAATAATTTAAAGACATTAACACTTCATTTTAATCGAAGAGAAAGAGGCAAAATATTTGATGAATTGTGTTTTTTAGAGAAATATTCAAACCAATTAAAAGAATCAGTTTTGTTTTTTTGAAAACATCTTCTGAGCTTCAGGATGAAAATTAAAATAATAAATCTTATGTGAACTTTTGATAAATCATATCTTTTTTTACTTTAATGATTTAAATTTTCTTTATAAATGACAGAAAATCTGGGCGTTTTGATTTTGATATTATATTGTTACTGGTTTCTGTTTTAGTCAGTAAATTCTGTTTAGTTCGCATTTGTACAGTCAATAATAATTATGCATTAAAGTGTCAATCGAATTGTTAAGGAGTGTTTTCATTCATGCAGATGCCACTTTTTTAAAATTGATCATTGAACTGGATCGAACTCGATCCCTATCACTTACGTCATTCTCTTCAGCTCAAAATCGAACGATTTGAGTTTGATGCACGTGTCTGGTTACTAGAATCTTAATCGCCTGAAAGCAACCCCTGAATCTTGACTAATAGTATTCTATGATCTCTATCTCAGCTATCGATAGTGTTTATTTCAATAGTAGAACTCAGATCATAGAGAAGAAAAGCCGAAAATAAAGATATTTTGATGAACTGCCTCTATCTTCAGCTTTCACAAATCTGTAAGTCTTTCCTAGCGTTAGGAGGTTTGATTATTATTGTCTTGAACGATGAGTCGAGACGTAACTGATCATATCTTCGATTAAAATAAATATTAATTTTGACATAGTAATTTTTATATAGACTTTTACTGCCGCTATAAATACACTCTGATCTAATCTCTTAATAGTTTTTGTGTTGAACAATATGGTAAGCGAGTAGATCGACATATGCATTTGAAATGATGAAGAACATTGTGCATATTTTTATTTCGACGTCTGACAATCTAGCGTAACCAACAATATGTCAGCAATTTTCTCACACAAAGATAGATATCTTGAGAATTGACTTTCTACATCATATTCGATACTCGCAGAAACTCGAGACCTTTGTTAAATCAAAAGAAAATGGATGGATAGAACTATTTTTAAATAATCGTTCATTTGTCGTGAAATCTCAAAGCAGCAAATAAATCTCATCTTCGACCATGGGAGAACGAAATAGATGAATGGACTGTGGGTATGGGTATGTAGGTTTCCTTCTGCTACTCACCCACACCCTAGTCATCGGCGTAAAGTATATTTCGACTGGTAATATTTCTTAATTTTGCATTGAATGCATAACAGGAACCGTAGATTGCTGATGTAAATGAAATGAAATCACTTGCTGAACATGGCACACTATTGAATGTACATGAGTACAACATAGAAGAAAGTGGATAGAAAAATGGTTTCATCGATTCGTTTCTATTGAAATAGAGATTGATATCCTGTTGTATTATTTGTACTTGTCAAATTGTGTACAATGGAGTAATTTAGAAAAAAATCCTGAAATCGTCCAAGACGAAATGGTGAGACATTACAAAAACTAAACGCTGGAAAGTGTTGTGGCCATTCGCTGATAATGCTTGTGTCTATATTTGTCGAATAGTCGAAATAGGCTAGAACCGCTTTGACAAGACAAAAGATCATTATAACAGTAAAAATGATGAATGCACCTGACCAAGAGATACGATTATGTAGAGTTTTACTATGAGCGATACCTGGCAGTCCATGAATAATTCAAAACTAATTGCTATGATACCTATTAGTAGATTCCACAGAGAGGAAGTAATATCAATCATAAACTAATGAATGTCGAGTTCTTGAATTCGAATGTCAATGACAATTTATCGATTGTTGAAATAGAATCTGTTGATTTCAACAATGCTTAAATAAATATCAATCGTGGCAAAAAAGCAGAATTGTTTACTTCGAATAAGAATTGATAATTCATTATGCTGACATTGCATATGCAATTTATACAACATGTAAGCTTTCATCGTAATTAGAATCCGTATATTTATAATATAAAATAAATATAATATTTTCTGCTTCAGTTCTCTGTGGACATAAGTAATTTTCGATTTCTTTGAAACATACATATCAAATCCAGTGTTGATGTACATTTCGAGCAATTCGATCTGCTCATAAACGGTTCCTCTATTGAGTATTTTCATTAGTCTCAGAATTTGTTCTTAGATTAAATGCATCTACAAGGAAAAGATTCGCTTCAGTGTAAAAAAAAATGCGTCATAGTAAACTGAAAATTCTAGCTATCCGATCGAATGTTAGGTGGTTAATAAATTTTCACATGTAACTTGAGTTAAACATCTGTATAAACAAGAATTTTATTTGACTTACTAACACTACGTGTTCAATCCAATCATCAGAGCTTAATCATATTTTATGAGACCAAGTTTTGCTTCATTGTCTCTATACAAAAAATCTAAAATGTCAAACACGCTGAAGGCATTTTACCCAACATTAATCGAAGATAGGCAAGATAAAGAAAAGCGCTCACCATCATGAGCGAGAAAATGATCACTTTGATTAGTGAACGTGGTGTCAAGTAATGAAGGATATTACATAAAAAGTATTCTCATTGTATGGAAAAACTACTCATAGAAAATGTTTCGCTTTGATATTTTCTTCACAATTGATTGTGTGAGGGAACCTAACTAGTCCCTATTGTTGTGTATAGCAATGGACAACTTGAGTTTGACTAAAATGTATCTCATTACACTCGTTAGAGCAGTCGGTCAAGCTATAAAAAACACCAATTTACAATCGAGAATGATTGAATTTCATATTAACGATGATGAAAAACCTTTTTTTTTTGTTGAACTCTCGAATAACAAAAGAGAAAAGATAATTTCCAATGATTATTTGAATACTTCTCGTATGCGTCATCTATTGAATTGACATAATCGTTGATAAAAACCAAGAAAAATCAAAATGAGTACTTCGATTTAGAAATCGTAATGAGAACAGTTAATATAAATAGTTAAATCTTCGTCCGAGTTTAGATGTAAGTATGAATGCGCCTTTTCTCTTCACACAACCACTCAAACCAAACTCGATGCCCATACCTTACTTTTATGAGCTAATAAAATATCTGAATTTTCCATTAGAAATGGTTTTATTTTTTTTAATGCTCTGATGTATACAACTACCATAGAAACAAATGAGATATTCGAGATATTGATTGAAAGCATTAAGTATTATACCATATTTTAGCATAGCATATATTTCAATGATCAGCTAGTAAATATTTTTATAATTTGTTATCAATAAGCGTAAATATTCAAGTAGGCCTTTGACAACGGATACAGGCTTGTTTTCACATGCAGTCTGATTAGTATTCAGTAATACATGATTAAAAGGTAACACCTTTAATATGATCATTACTTATGCATGAAATATCACATAAATTATGCACTTTATTTTTCGAATTGTTACAGGCTTTGAAAATCATGAGAAAAAAGGTTTTTTTTCGATAATTATGCAAATCATCAATAAAATAACTTTTATTTGTTTTTCGATGAGCAGATGTGACATTAAAAATATTAGAAGAATTATATGAAAATCTACAAATGTATTTTTTTGGGACAGAACAATTGTTTTGTTTCTATATGCATAAATGATATAGTATACAAATTTGGATGA